ATCAGCGCCCGCCGGCCGCCCCGCGGCGGCCAATGGGCGCCGCCCGCTTCCCGCGCGCGGGCTTCGGCTCCGAGGGAGCGCGTGCCGGCGGAGGGGCGCGTGCCCGCCGTGAGGCGGCGGCCAATCAGCGCGCGCCGCGCGCATCCCGCCCCCTGCGGCAGCCAATCAGCGGCGCCGGAGCCAACGAGGTGCGAGGCGACCGCCCGCTCTCCTCAGAGCGGCGGCTGCCGCCCCTGCGGGTGGGGACCCCAAGCGCCCGCTCCGCCCCCCCACGCCGTAAAACGACCGTTAAACGGCCGTCCTTGTCCCCTCCGCCGCCGAGGAGCTCCGGCCTCCGCCGCGACGGAGCCCCCGGTAGGTCGCAGCGCCCTCCGCTGGGGGCTCCCACGAAGCCTCCCCTTCCCGCCGGGAATCGAGGGCATCCTCAGCCACGGAGCCATGAGAAACGCCCCGCCGCTGCGGCCAGAGCAAGCATGAGGAAAAAAGTGGTTCCACAAGCCAAAAACGGCGCCAAAAGACGGGAAAAAAAGCCGTTTTTTGCTCTGGTGGCAGCAGCCGCGGCACCGTTTGAGCCTTTCGGAGCCGCAGCCTCCCAGTGCCAGGGCAGAACGACCCCGTTTCCGCGCGGATTTGCCCCATTTCGGTGCCTCTTTCCCTACAGAAGGCTCCGCGGGCAGAAGCGCCGCTCCGCAGGCACCGGGACGGCTCCCGAAGCCCTCGTTTCCGCACGTAAACCCCGCCAGAGCGCGGAATTCCTTTGCAAGGAGGAGGAGACGGAGCGTTTTGGAGGTACCGGCCGCGCGGGGACCCCGCGGGCCGCCGCCTGTCGCCGTGTCCCCGCCGCGGGGACACGGGGCCGCTGTTTATTGGGGCGCTCAGTGCTTCTTGCTGGCGGCCGCCACCTGCCCCGCGATGCGGTCCAGGTCCCGCTGGCCCTGCGGCGTCAGCTTGCGGCCCCTGCGGAGCGCGGCCCGTCAGCGCCGGCGCTCCGGGGACACGAGGGGACCCAAAGGGACACAAAGGAACCCACAGGGACCCAAACCGGACCGAAATGGGACCTGAAAGGACACAAAGGAGACCCAAGGGGACACCAGGGGACACAAGGAGACCCAAAGGGGACCCGAGGGGACGCAGAGGGACACGAGGGGACCCAAGGGGGAGCAAGGGGACCCAAAGGGACACGAGGGGACCCAAAGGGGAGCAAGGGGACCCACAGGGACCCAAACGGGACCGAAACGGGACCTGAAAGGACACAAAGGAGACCCAAGGGGACTCAAAGGGACACAAGGAGACCCAAAGGGGACCCGAGGGGACCCCAGGGACACGAGGGGACCCAAAGGGGAGCAAGGGGACGCAGAGGGACACGAGGGGACCCAAAGGGACACAAAGGAACCCACAGGGACCCAAACGGGACCCAAACGGGACCTGAAAGGACACAAAGGAGACCCAAGGGGACTCAAAGGGACACAAAGCAGACCCATGGGGACACCAGGGACACAAGGGAAACCAAGGGGACCCAAAGGGACATGAGGGGACACAAAGGGACCCACAGGGACCCAAACGGGACCTGAACGGACACAAAGGAGACCCAAAGGGACATGAGGAACCCAAGGGGACTCAAAGGGACACAAAGGAGACCCATGGGGACACCAGGGGACACAAAGGGGACCAAGGGGACCCAAAGGGACACCAGGGGACCCAAGGGGGACCAAGGGGGACACAGAGGGACACAAGGGGACCCACAGGGACCCAAACGGGACCTGAACGGACACAAAGGAGACCCAAAGGGACATGAGGAACCCAAGGGGACTCAAAGGGACACAAGGAGACCCAAAGGGAACCAAAACAAGACCCAAAAGAACATAAAAGGACATGGGGAACGCAAGAGGACACAAAGGGTCACAAAGGGACACGAGGGACCCAAGGGGACTCAAAGGGACCTGAGGGACCCAAGGGGACACGAGGGAATCCAAAGGGGATCCAAAGGGACACAAGGAGACCCAAAGGGGCCACAGAGGGACCTGAAGGGACCCAATGGGACCAAAGGGACCCACAGGGACCCGAGGGGACACGAGAAGGACACAAAGGCACCCGAGGGGACCCACAGGGGACCCGAGGGGACACAAGGGCACCCACAGGAAGCCAAGAGCACCCAAAGGGACACAAGGGGCCCCGCGGCGAGGCCGCGCACCCGTCCTGGTCCTTCTCGACCATCTTGAGGCCCTCGAGCGCCTGGAGGACGCGGCGGGCGACGCTCTTGGAGCCGCGGCTGAAGTGGCTGGGCAGGACGCCGTTGCGCTGCCGCCCGCCGTACACCTTGGTCATGGAGCCCACGCCCGCGCCGCCGCGCAGGTACAGGTGGCGCGCGGTGGAGGCTGCGGGGCACGCGCGTCACCCGGCGTCACCCGGCGTCACCCGGCGGCGCCCGGCGTCACCCGCCGTCACCCGCACCCACCCGCGCGCGTGTAGAACCAGTTGTCGTCGTAGGGCGCCAGCTCCTTGTGCTTGGCCAGCTTCACCGTGTCCACCCACTCGGGCACCTTGAGCTTGCCGGACCTGCGCGGGACACGGTGACACCGCGGGACGGCACCGGGACCGGCACCGGCACCGGGACCGGCGCCGCCCGCACTCACTTCTTGAGGAAGGCGGCCAGCGCCCGCACGAACTCCTGCTGGTTGACGTCCTTCACCGTCACGCCCGGCATCTGCACGGCGCACAGCCCAACGG